CTGGGGCCTCCCCGGGAGCAGTACAGAGTCGCCTCCTTTTAGCTGCCAGCTTGAGAGGACAAATCTGTCTTTAAATTCAGGGGCGTTACTGGGGCCCTAAAAAGTGTTCAGTGCCTCAATCCTGTGAGCTCCCTGGGGCAGCTGTGAGAGGAGACTGGCAGCCACTAGAGCAAGGCGCAGTTCTCTGTCCTCACGTGAATTAATCTCCGAAGTGACTGCAGTCGGTGACTGTGAGTTCAGCTCCTGGGCTCAAAACACTTAGTGAAGGAGAAGTCAAATGATTGGGGACAAAAGCAAGGTACCAACATCTGTGCTCACTTTGTGCTACTTTGCACTGACTCATATATTTATATAATTTTTATTTCTCAGAGCTGAGGCTTGAACCCAGGGCCTTGCACATGAGTACAGGTGCTCTACTACCGAGCCACAACCTCAGGTCATTTAGAGAGATTCTCCTAAGAGCTCTATGCGGTTGGCACTGTTCATCTTGTAGGTGGATAGAGTGAGGTGTTTGTCACCTGGGCAGCCCCACACAGCTAGCAAACACAGAGCTGGTATTCTGCCCAGGACTCTCCAGCTAGTGTTACTAACTGACCACTACACAGACTACAGAATTTTAAGCTGTCTTAATCCTTAAGATGCGACAGACCAGGAGGCTTCTAAGCAGCACAAATTGATTTCTCACAGCTCTGGAGGTTGCAAAGTCCAAGGTCAAGGTCACCATGCTGGCAAATCTTGGTGTCCGGTGAGTGTTGTTTTTCTGTTTTCATACTTGGAGCCTTTGTGGTGTTCCTGCCCCGCGGAAGGGGCTGGGATTTCTCTTGGGTCCCTTTTGTAAGGTAACTAGTCTCATTTATTAGAGCTCCCCGTCTCGGCCTAAGCACCTCCCTGAGGCCCACCTCGCAGTGCCATCACCTTGGGGGGGAGGTCATCTACCTATGAATTTGGGCATGAGACACAGGCTTTAGACCTCTGCACTGACTTACAAATTATGCCAACCAGGGAGGTTCCTGTTGTGAGTTGGCATAACTTATGCCATCTTGAGTCTTGCATCTAATTAGTGCCCTGTATTTGACTCAGAAAAATGGAAAATTACTCAGGGTAAAAGTCCCATGAGAAAAGCAGAATGAACTATACCTGCAGGAGAAAAATTAACCTGTTCAACAAAAGAAGCAGTATCAAGGTGTCAACCAAAAATGAATGAAAGATTCGCGCTAAATTGTTTGCAACAGGATGTCTTTTCTGATTCTTTCTTTTAAAAGCTTTGTAACTTTCCAGTTCGGGGCCATATGTTTGGACCCTGAACCAGGGGAGAGGGGTTTATATATGAGTGGTCCTGAGCTCAGTTAATAAATTCCAAATTTATCCACTTGGCTGCTTGGATTCCTATACTGTTATTCACGATGCTGTCTCAGTTTCTATGGTGGACTGAAATGCAGCTGAGACCTCAGCAAGCCTGGGAGGCAGAATCCGCCCTCAGCAATCTCAGGGTCAAAGCAGCAGCTTCTTGGCTCCTATAGCTGATTAAACACTGGGCCAGATCGCATCAAGGGGCTCACTGTTACTATTGACAGTCAGCATGTCCAACAGGATTGGAAACGACTCACTGTTGTTACTTCTAAGTCTCCAAATTAAAGTGTTAACATTTGTGGTGGAAGGGTTTCTTTCACATGACGCTAAGAGCTTCAGGACTTGAGTTTGCCTGTGATCCCGGTTTTCAGAACTGTTGATTCTGTTTGTTTTGTTTTCCCCAAAACCCCTTTGCATTGATTTGTCCTGTGTTCCATCTCCGTCTTCCAGAAGGCAGTCATATGGTACAGCAGGGGCAGGAAATTCCGCTTTAACACACCACCTAGTAATTATTCTAGGCTTTGCAGGTCACAAAGTCTATATCAAAACGACTCAGCTCCATAAGATAGCTACAGGCAATCTAAAACAAATGAGAATGAGGCTGTGTTCTAATAAAACTTTATTGGTGAAGTCAAACAGTGGGCTGGATTTCACCCACAGGTTTTGTGTGCTCACCCCTGCACTGAAAGGCACATTTTCTGGCCCATTCTTCATGTCCTCCTGAGGGCTGGGCTGCAGTCCTTCCCCTCCTTGAGTGTCTCTCTCTGTTCCCTGTTGGTTTGGTTCCAAGAAGAGAAGCCATTTGTCAAACTGGTCAATTTAAGAAGAATTATCTGGACCTGGTAGGCTTGAATCTGTCCTTTTTCCTTTGGCCATGCCTGGCCTGAGAGGGTTGGAGCTTCCGATCTGCTTTTTCCTGGATTCCCAGTCCTGCAGCAGGCAGGGTATATCTGCCCAGTTCTGAGATACACATCTGCATGGCCATGTGCTCAGAGTTCTCTGTGCAATCTTGCAAGCTGGGCTTTACCTTTAATAAATAGTATCTCAGTATAGTCTGTGTAATCTTTCATCATAACATAGAGGTGGTATTTACCAGCCCCCCTCAACATGGTGTATTCTGAATTTTTTTCATTGTATCCAAAATCTGAGTGCATTTTATATTTTCTCAGTTAAGCAGCATAGACCTTAGAACATCTTACTTTTTGGTTATTTATCTCTTGCTGTGTGTTAATGTTATGTATATTAATCATAAATTAATTAGCTATCATATAGGCATTCCATGCATCAAATGTAAAACTTGTTTCATAAGCAAAATCATTTGCAGATAACAGTTTGTTTAAATATATCGTCCACGGGAGAAAAACTGAGGTCCATGGTGGCAAGGAGGCTGGGAGCCAGAGAGTTAAGTCTCACTTTGTCTCAGAATCCTGGTAGGTAGGAGCCTCAGGGCACAGGCTACAGGACTGTGAAGGCCTCTCTGACAGCAAGTGTCCCCTTTCTCCGTCCTATCCTCATGTCCTGCTCACAGGAAGGAGAGAAGCTGTCAGATCCAGGAGCCCCTGGATCCCACAGCAGGCTGAGTCGGTGCTGTCTCTGGGTCCCAGTTAGAGCAGGCAGGAGAGACTACGGGTAGCACTCTGGGTCACACAGTCCAGCAGTTAGGGGTGTGGGCACAGGGCCAGCAGGTGGGCAGCACTGAGGGCTGTTGAAAGGGTCTCACTTCGGATCTCCCCTGGGCCAGTACGCAGCTTTCCTCTTGCGGCTTCTCCACATGACCTCCCACCTGTGCACATTGGTCTCTGTGTCCTGCCTTCCCCTGTGCCCAAGGACAGACAGCAGTCACACTGGATCAGGCTTGCCCCAGTGAGTCCACTGGGATTTGCTGACCTCTGTAGAGGTGTCACTCTGGGTATAGTAATACAGGGGATTGGGACTCCGAAGCGTGAACCCTAGAGACACACTAACCCTAACCCTAATCCTAACCCTAACCCTAACCCTAACCCTAACCCTACCCTACCAGCTGCCCAAGCTGGAAGCCCCTGCTTGGGTTTGTAAGGCAAAGCTCTGGTGACACGCCCCACCTGCCCTCCAGCACGCCTGATGGGAAGGGGTGTCTCTGGGCTCTGGGGTTATGGGTAGAGAGGAGGAAAAGAGGGTGTCCTTCGTGGGAGTAGCTGATTAGCATGGGGAAATAAACCCCTTCCTTCCTGATCTGTACACCTCTTCGGCGTCACTCAGCCACTGAGACCTCACTGAGAACAAGGAAGGCTCAGTCCTGAGCTATCTGCACAGGAGCAAGAGTATCCCCCTTGGGGCTGGGGATTTAGCTCAGCAGCATAAGCGCCTGCCTTGCAAGCAGGCAGTCGTGAGTTCAGTCCCCAGTACCAAAAAAAAAAAAAAAAAAAAAAGAATATTATGGTTTGAGAACTGGTCAACTTAACGCCAGCTGGATTATGTCAGTATGCATTGAGAGAAGATGCTCCACCTGGGGAGGGTTGAGGCATTAAGGAGGCATTGTGGGTTCTCCTATAAGTTGCTGTCTGAGCTGTTGGTTCTCCTGGAGAAGCTTTGGTCCTCACATCAAGCATTGCTTCCTGGCTCCGGAGGGGAAGACATGTGCTGCTTGGTCTCCAGGATGAACTCGTCACGCTGCTTCCTGGCATGTACCCAACTGTGCTTGTCATCGGAGGAGCTCGAGGCCTCCGTGTCACTGAGGACAGCTGTGGTGCCTTTCAGGATAGCCCTGGTCTTTGTGAGTGTGACTTCTCGGCTCCAGGTAGAACCCTCATCTCATTAGCACAGCTCCTTCATCCTGCTGGCATAGACTTTCTGGATTCCACCGCTGACCCTTGGGTCTTCCCAGGATGGATCCGTAAAAGACACTGGCTTGAGTCCTTTTTGTGGGCTCTGGACTTCCAGTTGGACTCCTGGGAGATATTGTCCTGAGCTCTGGGTTTTTATCTGGACTCATGTGGGACATTGCCCTGGGGTTTAGGCTCTTAACTAAATAATCTATATCTTTGGTTGTTGCGGACAGATTTCCTGCATTTTCTTGTGTTAACTTCTGGTGACCATTATAAAAATATTATAAACTCCATGTCCTAATCCTAGTTGTTCTCTGTGTACAACCCGGGACTACAACAAAGAGAATCCCCCTTGAGTGTCCCTTTGCCACCGTGCCACCTCGAGTTCTGCACCCAGAGCAGCAAGACACACGGGAGGCTTAGCAAGGACAGTGACAGCAGAAGAGCAGATGATGAATGAATGACCTGCAGCTTGTTCAGCATCACAGGCGGTAGGAGGCGTGAGAGCCACTGTGGCCTTCTACACCGCGGTCCTGCCAGAGCTTCCAGTCTGGCTGACTCTGGCCAGCTGGCCCCATCCTGCCTGCTTTCCTAGGTCTGCAGGCTGCGGGGGGACGGGGCTCCCCGCCCTCCTGTGACACCAAGACACCATGGCCTCCTCCAGGCCTGTGATGGGATCTGGTCCCAAGAGCCCAGTCCCGCAAAGTCTGACTGGGCCCCAGGTCTCTCACAATCCAGTCAGTTCCCAGGCTCTCGTTCCCCCGTAGCCTGGCTGACCCTGGGCCCGGGTCCCCCACAGTCCTGCTCACCCCAGGCCGCTCCCTACCCAGCCCCGGGGCCGCCCACCTGGGCCTGCCGCTGGAAGTAGCTGTGCTCCTTGGGGTCCTGGCGCCGCGGCGGGATGTAGCTGAAGGCCGACTGCGCCGAAAGGGGCAGCTGCCAGGGCCGGCCCCGCAGTGTGGCGGCCGTGAACTCCTCCCCGTCCTCTAGGTCGTCCTGGTGCTCGGGGGCGCCCGGGTCCATCGCCCCCGCCGCGGGAGGCCGTGGTCCACACCGAGCTGCGGGCAGCCGTGGTCCACACTGGGCTGCGGGCATTCGGCAGCGCGTCTGCCGTTGCCGGGGAAACCGCGGGGGCGGGGCGGGGTGGTCAGGGGGCGGGGTGATCAGGGGCGGGGAGGGCGGGCCTTCGTCCTCTCTCCAGCCCTCTGGCCACGCCCAGAACGGAAAGAGGCGACGGCAGCTCTGTGGACTTTCGGGGTGCTGCCCACGAGGAACCGGACAGAGTCCCGTGTGCAACTCACCATCTTCTGGATAAACTCCTTGGAGACGTCTGAAGAATTCACTGCTCTGTGACCATGCCTCAGTGCGCGCAGACATCCACACCGCTCCAAGTGGCACGCCAGGGTGCTGGGCCATGTACAGAGGCTGCCCCACCTGCCTGCGATGTACGGACCTTCGGAGGGTGAAGTCGGGGAGCCCCGGGCTCAGCAGCCCCCTGCCCGTGCTGCTATGCTGGTTGCAAAAGCGTTAGGCTGCAGACCTGAGCCATAGTTTACCGGCTCCCGCAGGGCGCCCCCCTGGGGCTGCCTGGGAGGAACCGGGCTGTGCAGCTCCTTGGATCCTTCCAGTGGAGCGGAGCCTGGAGCCCCTGTCCTGTCCTGTCCCGTGAGAGACTGGAGGCCCAGGGCAGAGATCAGGGGTGGGTGGAACAGTAGGAAGACCAGTTTGGATAGTTCCATTAAGAGATTTTAGTTCCATTCTGTAAAAAAAATTATTCTCATGTAATCCCTGCTGCGCTTCCTCCTGCGCACTCATGGGGCACGAGGAAAGCGGCCCCCGAGGAAAGGGGCACCCGCGCACACATGGGGCACTCCTCGTGTCTGGAACTCGCACTTGGCAATTACCCATGCTGGGAAAGGGAAGAATACGGGAAGCAGGAACACCTCGTTCAAAGCAGGCGAATTGAGAGGATCAGGACATAAGAGGCCTGACTGAAGAGCACGGGGTCACATCAGCTGCACTGTTTCAAGGACTTTGTCTTTCTTTTTTCTGACTCTTTTCTCTCTGCTGTGACCTAGGTGGCCTAAGGGCGCACTGATGGCTGTGTGGGCAGTGCTGCAATGCCGATGCTGAGATGCTGACCCACCAGACCTCTGCTGCCTGCACCGCCCCGCAGGGAGCCCCCCAGCCAGTGCTTTGCTGGGCGACCTGAGCTCAGGGCAATCAGCCACCCATCTTGGAATTCAGGAGGTGCAGAGTCTGCACTGCATCTGAAAGCTTGGGCTGTTTCTCTTGACATCGGAGCAAGAAAAGCTCTTGAGAAATTCGATTAGAAGTCCGTTTCCTGTTTATATGAGGCAAGGAAAAAGAAACCAAAGGAGACAGTTGTCATTTCACAGTAGCTGTGACTTCGGCACATCTTGCATGGCATATGCTGTGTTTACCCCGAGTTCTCAATAAATTCAGACTTTTCTTCCTTGCAAGCAGTACTGGGAATGGCACCCAAGGTCTACATTCTCAGCCCTCTCATTATTATTATTATTATTATTGAGACAGGGTCTCCCTAAACTGCAATCCTACTGCCTTAGTCTCCCAGAAGTGTAAGATTATAGGTATGTGCTATCATAACCAGTGAACTCAGACTTCTGAAGCTGGGAAATCCTGTCTAGTTTGTTGTGCTGCCTGGATCTGCAGTGTGTGGTGCTGGGATTAAGCATGTGACCCTGGGATTGACTCTCGGTAGGATGCTAGGATTACGGGTGCTCCACCCGGGATGTGACTGGATAGAATTTAAAGGACCGAAAGAGGTTGCTGCTGTGGCTTTGCTGCTGGCTACGTTGCTGTTTTTCTGCCTTCTGCCTGCCGTGCTGTGTTTCTCCTCTGTGCTCCTCCTCTTCCAGGCCATCCTGCCTAGGAACCAGCCAACTACACGCTGAAACCTCTTCAAACTGAGCCAAAATAAACCTTTCCCCCTTTAACTTTAGGTGTTTGTTGTTTTGCCTCAACAAGGAGAAAAAGTAGCTAAGACTCTGGGGCTGCAGGAGCCAGGAGACCTTGGAGAGAGGCTTAATCCTGGGCTGGGGCAGGAGGGATGGGTGAAGGAGCCAAAGACATTCTGTTTGCAGAGAAAAATTCAAAAACTAATGCCAAAGTCAAAGGCAAAAGGGGCCATGTGAAAGGCACCTCAGCCCAAGTGGGGTGATTTAAGTCTAAAAGAGAAATGCAAAAGATCAAAGCACACCAAATACATGGAAGTTCACGAATTCATCTGTATCCCAACACAAGCAACTGACCTGGCCAACATTTTATCCTAAAAATTGATAGAGACACTTGTTGTCCCTTATTTTATGTTACACAAATAGTTGATGGGAAAAAATCTTTTTTTTTTTTGGCTTTTTAGTTCAGTACTAGGGATTAAACACAGGGCATTTGTATTTATATACATTTTAAGCTGTTTTATTCTTTTAAATTTTTATTTTGAAACAGGATCTTGCTACATTGCTAAGTTTCCCAGGCTGAGCTAGAACTTGTGATCTTCCTGCCTCAGCCTCCCAAAGTAGTGAGACATGGTCTCATGAGCATGAGAGCATGAGCCACCACACCTGACTAAAAGTTCTTCTTCATAAACAAATACAGTGACAGAATTAGAATACCATTTTGGATTTTTTTCCCTTTGTGATACCTGGCGAAAGAATAAATCCAGGCCACAATCATCCATAGGTGCAAACACTACTGTAAGAAATGTTGACGGGGACATTGGCAACACTGGAAATCACCACTGTTCATGAACATCACTGAAATGGGACAAGCAGACTTCATGGCAGGGGAATAGAGCAGACAGATAACTGCATGTCAACAGTGTGGAACGTCTTGCGGGCAAACTGATCTAAGTGTTCTAATGTCTAAATGACATGAGGAGAGAGGCAGACCTAAGTGGTGTGATAAATAAAGGCAGTAAGCAGTCTTGGGATCCTGATTCAAACAACTCAGCAAATTACTTCTGAGACAGCCAACTTGGACTATAGTCCATATATTTAAAGTCAGGGAGTAATTATTAATTCTGATAATCTGCAATAATGGCTGCATGGCTAAATAGGAAAAAATATTTCTTAGTTACATATGCATACTGAAATACTCAGGATAAAATGAGATAGCTTCACTTTCTTGAAAAAACAAGAGAAGAGAAAGAATAGATGAAACATGATTGGAAAATTATGGTAATTTTTCATGCTGAATAGAGACTTGTGTGGATCCATTATGCCATCCTTTCAGCTCTTGTGTATGTTCACAATTTCCCCATCATAAACGTTAAAAACAGCAGGGCTATTAGGAGGTATTGTTTCTTGCAAACATCAGAACCAAAAATATCCGTTCAACCCACAAATACTGCGCATTACATGCTGGAGACAGTGGGAGGTGTCAGGAGAGATGTTTGTTTCTTCTGAGATGGTGTAACAAGTGTACAAAGACACATTTCCCTTTGATGGAGCTCAAAGCCAGAACACACGTAAGTAAGTTGCTTTCTGACGAGGCTGCGCCTCAGGGCAACTCAGGCATCTAGAGAAACAAAGGCAGACAGCATTCTTGTGGTCAGGAAAACCCACTGAAGCTGGGCTGGAGAGACAGAGCCCAGTGACGCTGTGTACACAGCCAGCACTGTCAGGTCTGAAGGTAGATTCGGGATTCTCGAAGGTCTGAACAAAGGGAGACATTCTGTCCTAAATTTCCCTATCTGAAGCTCCACCATCAGGCTGCAAACCAAAGCCACTTCTGTGCCAGAATGTCCCGTGTGCCTCAGATTTCATGGGCACTTCTCAGAATGTCCCATTTTATTGATTTGATTGCAAACAGCCCAAATTTCCTGGCACGAGATCTACAGTGCTAATCACAAGTGCTTGGCCCGGGCTCGCAATGGCCCAGGTATCTGAGCAGCAAGTGAGTCCTGTTCTGCCTTCCAGCTGGGCTCCTGCTGTAGACCTTGATGGGGAACTGCCTAGTGCAGGAGGGACACAGACACACCTCCCGGACACAGTGACAGTGCCCCCCACCAGCTGCCCATCCGGCTGCCCTGAGCCCAACCCACATGGCGCCTCTCATCTCCTACCCAAAAGCTGAGCGCTTGGCCTCCCATCGCATCTGGGTGTATTTCCAGGTTGGGGAAGCCCCAGCCTTTGCGGGGAGGCTGTTGGTCCACACCATGGAGTGACAGCCCTCCCTGGATTTGCACTGGTGGCCTTCTTAGAGGACAGAGACTGCTTCCACCTCCCCCAAAATTCACCCAAACAGGAGGAAATCCGCTCTGACCAACCTTCTTTCACCTGGAAAGCATTCACCCTGAGCGAACCGAGATTTGGAAGGATCCCTGGCCTCAGTAGCCTCCCCTCCAGCCACCTTCTCTTCATCCCCGCAGGGTCCTCTCCAGTCCATGGCTGGCTCAAGCAGGAGAAGGTGAGGACAAGGAAACCGCCTGTCTTCAGGCAGAGCCCTCCCTGCGCCCTGGCACAGCTCCTGCCTCCTGCCTCTCAGGGTCCACGCTAGTGATCAAGGGTTGCAATGCCTTAAACGTGGCTGCCTCCTAGTGACAGGCCCGGGGAATATCACCGTGCTTAGAAGACAAATTTTACTTTTCTTTGCATTACTGCTGAAACGAAAACTATCTGCAGTTACTGATAGGAAGAGGGTCCCCTGCGGCCTTCCCAGGGTGTACAGCCCTGCCCATACCACCTAATGGCAGCCCTTGGAGTCCAAGCACAAGCCCGCTGTCCAGTGGTTTTCTTCTAAGAAACAGAAACAGAAGGCCACACGCAGCATCAGAGCTGAGAGGGGACTCCGGATTCCAGCCACGCACCCATCACTCACACTGAGGGGCCCTTGGAGGATGCAGCTTGTGCGAGCCACACTGGCACTGGGCCGAGATGCTGGGCCCAGGCTTGGCAGAGTGAAGGGACAATCGACAGCTTGGCCTTGTCCACCTGGGCCCTGGCCCCAAGGTTCTTTCTGAACCAGGCCTCGGCGCCCACTTCCTCCCTGGCTCACTATCCCGAGTGCAGCGGAGCCCGTGTGGTGAATCCTCGGTGATTTCACTCACGCAGGATCCGCAATCCGAAGGCTCTGCTCCCGAGCCCCGGCCTCTGTGAACTTGCAGCTTTATTTCATTATAAAAAAAAGACCAAGTCTCAGTACTGATGTCTTTTTAAGTGTCCCTGATGGATAGTTCTATAATCATGCTTACATCCAAAATACTGTGGTCTGTTTTCACTTCTGTTTTGTACTTTACCTCCCGTGACAAAATGGACAGAGAAGTGGGGGATAAAAGTGTTTCTTTACATTTGTTAGGAAACAAAGACCTCTGAAGAACAGACTTTCTCTGGGCAGAAAGCTATTACAAATGAATGACTCCAAAGCAACGATGACTGTTTACTGTATTTGATCAACTCCATCTCACGTGTAAAAATATGTATGACTCTAGCATTAAATTAATTTTAAATCCACGTACAAATAAATACACACAGGTATGAGGAAAAGTACACTCTCCAGGTCACCCGTCCATAAACAAAGTCGGGCAGCGGACTCGTTCACCAACGGCCCCTTCCTTTGACTGTCACCGTCCTTGACTGGAAGCCAGCGTCCCTGCTAGCACTGAGTTCTGAGAAAACAGTTTGCCTTGTAAATATTTCACCAGCTGATGCCTGGATTTTAGCTTCTCCATCTCATGATAGGGCACCTGTGAAGGGAGAAAGGGACAGCGGTCACCACGGTAAAACCAGGTAAAACACACAGGAGAGCACAGCAAGCAGCAGGTGGGCAATGTGGGGTTAGAAGGGGCTGGAAGGGAGCCAGCGCGCAGGGGCAGGCCGGACCCTGGAAAGGGAAAGCCCGGCCAGGGCAGCCGGGCAGGGCGAGGGCCCTGCATGCTAAAGGCAGGGAGTTCTCACGCCATGTTGCCAGTGGAAGAGAAATAATGAAGGTTCTGAGCGGACGCCGGCGGGATGGGTCTCAGGACGGTGAACTGGGGATGTGCACGGTGTGGAGAAGGGCAGAGCACAGAGCAGTGTGCACGGCTGAGAGGGCGGGGGGTGCGCGCTGATGGGCTCCCAGCCCAGCCCCCCGCAGGGATGGGGTCGCTAAGAACAAAACTTACAAAACAAACCAGTGGCTAGAGCACGAGGAGCCCACACAACGACGGCCACAGCCCTCCTGGCCTTTCTTACGTCACTCAGGAGGATGACGATGCAAGTCTGGTCTTAGATATTACGGGGAGGGGCACCCTGGTCTATGGGCTACCTCATGGGCTACCTCAGCTCCTTTTACTCAGTAGTCAGAGATAAATTAAAATAAAAGACAGCCCCACAGTGTACTAACTTTACCAGTGTAGCTTATAGCAAGGGTGGCAAACCTAGGGTACAGGTGTTATTTTAAGACAAAAGATGTTAATGTAGGCTTGTTTTTACTAAACTACAGTACGGGCATTCGGGTGTGACTGAGCATGGCCACTCTGTGACACTTAAGTTGGTCTGGGGTTGCAGTTTGGCGCTCGACAGGTCTTCAAAGGTTCACCACCACTGGCTTACGGTCTAAGCGTGCTCCACTGCTCGCACTTGAAAAACCAACGCTTTGAAAAGCCTGTATATCCGAGTCAAGAGGTTTATGGCTAACAAGCAAGGTCATTCCAAGAGATTTAAACAGGACTAATATTCTGTTCTACATACACAAAAAAAGCCCCCTAAGAAACAAAAACAAAGTGACACTATATCTAAACAACTTTTATCTAAATAACTTTTATTGAATAAAAGCTTTTTTTACCTCACAATTTTGACATACCTGAACAACTTCATAGCCAAGTAATCCTAGGTGTCTTTGTTTAATAGCTTCTTTTCCTAGTAAGTGAATGCCATTAGAGCAAAATCTGTTTGGATCATCAATGCACAGTGCTATCCTGAGAAATCAAAATGGAAAGAAAACTAATTTGTAAGACAATTCAAAATATTTATATATTGTCATTGCTGTAATTTCCTTGGGGTTTGGCTAGTTGTACATGCCAGCATCACTTTAAAGAGTCATAAATAGATTACCCTTTAATCTGCTTAAAACCCATCCCACTTTATTAACATTAATGTTTATAAAACATTACAAAGACATGTATAAATGATATGTTGAAAAGCATTTTCATCTCCAGAATCATGTCTATTTTTTCACTTTAATAAGAAAAATAAAGTTTTAGTTTTAACAAGTCTTATAACATTATAAGCCATGGTTTCCTCTACCTTTTATGGACATCTTCATTAGCTGTAAATGGTAATACAAATCCTTCTTCATCTAATTTAATTTCAACATCTGGTGAGAGAAGAAAGGGAAAAGTCTTCCTGTGAGACCCTCACACACACTCCGCTTGCACTCCTTTGTATTCTCGTCCACACTGCGTTTATCAGTGGGTGAAGGCTGCAAAGTAATGACCACACCAGACAGCGTGAGAAGCCTAACTTCATCAGCTTGACGACCCAGCAAGCCAGCCTTGCGGTAAGAAGGCTGCATGATACCAGAGCCAAGGTGGGTCCGCACATGATCTGTGCTCACTTTACTTCTCCTCTTGTAACAAGTGGAGGAGATTTTTCCATTCAGTGAGAGGGAAACCCCTAAGCACAGACCCCTGCACGTCTCACACTAGACAGCTGGCCTGGAGTACCCCAGGTTCAGCAAACCATCCTGAACTCCGACGCGTGGTCCCACCATGGACATGCTCCCCATGTCTGCCCCGAGGGCCTACTGCTGCTCTTTCCGAAGAGCCCAGTGAGGAAGAGGAGGAGATCACCGAAGCTTATAAGCCTCTGTGCTTCCTGGGAGGATTCTCTTTTACTCACCCTCTGAAAGGGCTGTTGCAAGGACACGGTCGGCTAAGCACACGTGCACAGCAATGCGCACAGCAGCCCTGTCCTGTCCGGTAGCTGTGGCCACTCGGAAGTGGCTACTCACCTGGAATCTGGCTAAGTGTGATGAATTCTGAATTCAGGCCTAGAGTTGTAATAGCAGCTAACATTTACCACCTTCCAGGTATTATTATCTAGTTTAATCCTGCAATCTTTGAGGTCACCATTCTTCTTTCTCTCCTTTTATAGGTGAAAAAACAAGCTGGAAAAGAGTAACGTGTGTGGCTAGGAGCACTTCTATGTGGCTAACATGTAAGACTCGAAGGCAGACAGTTTTAACTCTACAGCCCTCCTGTAAACAACCCCTTCAACTGCCTTTGACAACTCCATCCTGCATTTCCAGAGACCTTCAGTGGCTCCCAAATCTCCAGGGACTCCAAAAGAGGACAGGACACTTTGTTCAAAACGATCAAACTCCCCACACTGCTTACCTATGGTATAACAGTAGGGCGTTAACACTTTTGAAGCAAAATAGGTTCTTGCTCCCAAAAGTTCAATCAGTGCAGTCATCACATATTTATAAAGCTGAAAATCCAGTGGGGTCTCCATGGAACAGCACGGAGTGAGGAATGATTTCAGCTGGAACTTAGGAAAAAGTTTCGGACCCTAAAAAATCATACATGCAAATATGAGGAAAAAGTCAGGTACCAAACCAGAGAATAAACTGAAAGATTCATGGGCATAAAAGTTCGGTACAAAATCACTTGATAGGTACCGTTTTTTTTTTCCCCAGGAGTTAGGGCAGATAGCTTTCTCAAAATTACGATGTAACACATTTCTTGTTAAATTTCAAAATCTTTTACATAAGTTTCCAAAAAAGTGATTGATTACTATAATGGAAGGCGGAAAGAGGAAGGGAAGCAGAAAGAAAAGGGAGAGAGAGGGAGGGAGGGAGAAGAGACACGGTGAGAAGATCGCTCATCATAAAACACAGCTTCGGGACTCTTAGAATCGGTTCAAAGGCTGTAAGTACCCAAAACTGAAGATTTTAACAATGGGAAATATGACGAAGGTGACACTTCAGCTTAGGAAGGACGGTGAGACAATAAATGTGCTGGCAAACTTTTCACCCATGTGGAAAAGAATCAAGCTTCAGTTCTGTCATCACTGACTGTAAGAAATCCCAGGTGGTAGAAGGTGGTGACCATAGTTTTAGCAATGAATTGTATTTTTAACAATTTGTATGAGATTTTAAGTGTGGTCATCACAAGAAAAACTATGTGAGACAATGCATATGCTAATAATACAGTGCATGTGTTAATGCATTATGGAATGAGTATGTCTATTTCAAAATAACATCAACAGGATGTATATAAATCCTCCTGTCAATTAAAATACATAAACAACAAAAATAAATTCTAGGGGATTAAAAAATTGAGTAAAAAATAAGAAAAATATATCTTAAAATATTTGTAAAATGTTTGTAATGATTTAGTAGTGGTAAAATATTTGTGAGAAAACCTAAGTCACAAAAGAGAAATTCAACTAAAGAAAACTCAAAAACTTCTATATGTCATAAACAATATTAAGTTAAAAAAAATTATAAACCAGGTCAAAAATATACACTGTGTTCTTACAAAAAGACAATCCAACAGCAGTGAGTTAAATGTAGAGACAATTGATGGAAAATCCGAAGGGCCAGGGCCAGGGAGTAGTTGCAGATAAACTCAACTTTGCTATTACAGTCTGAAACTGTGACATGAGGTGGCTCTTTCCCCAGAGGGGATTAGGGGACAACAGCACTGCTGCCAGAGCAGGGGGGCAGTCACCTTCACTCACTGCTGCAGAAATAAAAGGGGTACAACTGCTGGGGGGAAATCTGCCAGCATCTACCCAAAAGGAACCCAGTTTACAGACTTAAGAAACCAAAGGTTCCAGGTCGGTATGATACGCAAGGATGCTGGTCACAGTCACAAAGGCTGGACACACCCTGAGGCAGTTTCACGTGCAATGGCAGAATGCCTATCAGGGATGATCGTGCCTCTGGTAAGACAACAGGAAATCTGATTGGTATGTACGGGACTCCTGGAATGCTGATCTGCTGAGCAAACAGCAAAGTGTACTTTGTTTAGTCTGCTCCGTCCGCTGAAAGGAAAACACTAGATGGCACTGTACTCATGTGTACACATCTGCCCACAGCTCTGCTGCTGACACTGCAGGGCTGGAAGGAGCTGGAGAGAGCTATCGGCTTTGAGTACATGAGGACTGTCTAAGCTATTTCAATGAAACATGTTTTTCCATTCTTACACCTTTCTCCAAAAATCAGACTCTCTTTAACTCTGTATTCAGAGCACAGAGGACCGGGCAGGTATGCGAGCCTGCAGGATGCCTTTTCTGATCCAACCAGGGAATGTGGGTGTCACTACGGCACTGTATGCCGCTACAGACTCCCCTGAACTAACCCCTGCCAGACGACAGTGAAATGCCTGCTTGGCATAAAATGATACTCAGAAATAATTTCAGGATCTGTTCAGTTCTGAGAAGGATACAGTGATAATCAACAGCTCTGGGAAGTACCAAAAAGCCTCAAGGAAAGCTCGGGCTGCTGCTGTAAGTGTGGCACTTGGAGAGGCTTACTAAGGAGCCTGAACGGCAGAAGATGGAGCTTCTGGGGCCAGGTCACAAAAAGGAGACCGATGAATCAGAGACAAGACTATAGGGTGGCAACTGACTCCCAATAAACACATGTCCTAGCTTCTAAGGAGGATAAGAGATAGACCAATGTGAAGGGAACTAACAATTTCAGAGAGGACAAAAATCGAGTAGCTCCATAGGGAAATACAGCTACTGTCTACAGTCATGTCTTTACCTTATAGCAAGGACACTCTAGGAGGGCGGTGAGGAAAAGTTGGGTCAGTTGTGCCAGACTCAATCTGTCCACACACGACTCTTCACCTGAAACAAGAAGCACTCTGTCATTCAGCTTCAAGTGAGGAATGTTTAAGGAGAGAGGGACCATCACGAATGTCCATCAATTTAAACACTCGGAAGTACTGCATTTCAAAATGACAGTAGGAGAGGACTTGACAGAATTAATCATGTCCTTTTCTTAGAAACAGTGAAACTTTCACGATCTCAAAGCTTTTAACTAGCAAATAATTACAAGTGGCACATTTGTAGAATTATTGGAAATATTCATTAAGTATAGAAAGCCAGAATGTGACAATTTGAGTGGTCCTGAATTAAGATAAACAATACCATCTTTTTTAAAAGTAGAGGTTACAGTTGCTCAGGCATCAAAGGTTGCAGTGGCTCTTTCCATCTCCCCAGGTGCCACAGGGGCATGTGGACCCTGGCTGGCAGCAGTCTGTTTACCTGACATTGCTTCCCTCCACTATCCAGGATTCCAGCATTTTTTAGCCCTGTGTCTACACTGGCGTCTGTGACTTCAGATCTCTACATCATAGTATCGGGGAAGAAAAACTAAGGGCAGAGCATTTGCTCAGCATAAACAGTTCCTCTGTCTTCTGAAAACACCACAAGCTAAAATACTCACTTTGTGCAACTGTTAAGAAGTGATAGCCAGCTCACCTTGCAGCTGCTGAAGAAAGAAAGGGCTGAATATTTTTGCCATGAAGTTGACTGGATGGCATCCAATAAGCGAACAGGAATGGAGAACTCGCAGGAGCGTTTTGGGTGGGAAATGATTGATATTAGTGAACAGCACATTTTCTAGCTTCCTAAAGAAAGCAGGGGCATTTGGTGGCAAGTGATTGAGTTTGCCGAATGGTTCAATTAATTCAGAAATCTGAGTAGGTGAAAGTTTTTCTGAATGGCAAACAAAAGCTTCTGCCACTGCATTAAGAATGGGTTTGGAACGAATCAGTTTTCTACTGCAGTACTCTGCGACTTGACTGATAATTTCAGGAGTCAGGCTGAGGTGGTGTGAAGTGACATACTGCTGCAGGGCCTTGGTGAAAAACTTGTCACTGTATCCAAAATATCTGAAAGCCTCCAAGACTTTCCCGAGTTCTTCACTGGTGAACTGAGGGACGTGCCTCACGACATATTTACCCAATTTTATAATCAGAGGGCATGCTTGGATTTGATCAAGAACCATTAAGGCATCCAGCATCTGGTTAACTGACTTAGGACTCAGGGAGGAAACAACCGAGGGAGCGAAGTTGTTTACCATATTTAAAAACGTTTGGTGTTGGTCCCGCTTTTCAGCACAGGTCTGCAGTATTCTATAAATGGCCACAATATTTTCTGGGGTAAATGTTTCCAGTTTTTTACTTTGCAGTTGATGTATGATCGGTTCTAGTGTCACACAACCTGGACCTTGCAGTCTAATCAGAGTTTCCCCAAGAACACAGAGATCAGAAGTTTCCAGGACACCAGTTTGGAGACGATTCTGGCATTCTGCCACCAGATTCTGGATCAGGCGACCCTGATGATCCACGTGCGATGACAGAACCAGAGCTTGCAAAGCAGCCACCAAACCGGTATTGGACAGACATGCAGGTTGCTGTTCAAACCGAAAGCACAAAGCTTGAAAGGTGCTATTCTCTAGGACTTCCTTTGGCAATCTTTGCTCACCGTCTCCTTCTTCCACTTCACAAATGCGCTGCAAAGCCCCTGCAGCCATAGAATCAGGTAGAATCTCCTGAGTGCTTATGAAGCCTAACACTTCTCTCCAAGAGGTGAGGCTGTTTAGTTTTCTGTAAAACATCTGTTCATCTTTGCTGTTAAGATTTGAGTCAAGCCCGTCCCAGTTGTGTACTTGAGAGAAGCCCTGCTCACTGAGTGGCTGAAGGTTATATCCATTTTCTGAATGGAACTTTTTCCCACAGGCAGTATGGGACCCCATCCGGCAAGGTTCAGGCTGCAGTGATGAGAACCTAGTATGCAGATGCCCCTTAACTCCCTTGTTAAGGTGATTTACAGGGCGACTCTTCAGAGCAGCCTGAGTTCCATGTACTCGAAAATCAGCCAGATGACATAAGTTCCTCCACAAGGTGATTAACGCCATGCCATCTGATCTGGAACTCTTCTTGATTAACAAGGAAGAAAAACAGGTCAAATACATTGAGAATGTCAATATTGACGAATCTAAGGACAGATATAAAAATGGTGACTCTTAAATATTTCTCACTAAAACAATAGTAGCTAAAAAACCAATACACGCACACACACACACACACACACACACACACACACACGTTACTTTCTGTTTGCAAGTGTAGAAAAAAGCCCCCAGCAACTAACAACAATCAGTATTGCTTGCCAGGCACTGTTTCAAGTTCCTGTTGAACATTACCCCACACAAATTAACTACTTTTATGATTTTACAGCTAAGTAAGATGTAAACTCCCCGAAAGTTACTTTGGCCCATTTACGCTGTTAGTAAAGAGCAGAGATTCAAGCTCACTGGGCCTGGCTCTCAACCACGCCTTGGCTTGGTTGGACGAACTGCATTTGAGCAAAAGCAGCATTCTCGGGATGGGGGAGGAGTAGATAAACAGGGCAAAATTCGGACAGGGCAGGCCAAGGAAAGGTAGGCGCGCCAAAAGGCTCCGGGATGCAGACAGAATCAAGAAGACAGAAGGACCAAGCGGGAGGAAATGAGAGGACAACATGTAAACACCTTCTGCGGGATTTCCGACAGAGTGTGCAGGCCACGGACTGAGCCGCATCCTCAGGAGCCCGGCACCCGAGGACCTGCACAAGAAGGGCCCAGCAGGTCAGCACTGCGAGCAGTGTCGGGGCAGGCAGCGCAGGGCACTGTCAGTCGCACTGAAAGCCCGCGTGGACACTTACCCGGTCGCACCAGAGCAGCGGTCCGACTGCACACTGAGGCGGCAAAGCCTGGCCGGCCACCGTACGCTGACGGGAACCGAGCATGCGCGGGGCCGAGGACTCGACCAGGTAACGCCCACATTCAGCGTTCTGTGATTGGCCAGGGTCTCTCCGGAGCGTCTGATTGGTCCTGAATGCCGAGCATGCGCGATTTGTCCTTGCATGCTGCGATTTTGAGCTATAGTGGAGCGTACTCCGGTCAGCGCTGCGTGGGTGAGGACCGCGTTGGCAGCGGGACTGGCTCAGCGGGGAAGTGGCCTACAGTCGGTGAGGTTAGCTGGCTTGTTCGCGTGGTCGCCGAGGAGCGGAAGTGTTTGCTGTGATGAGGTTTTCATCGCCGTCCGCAGTGCTCCGTGAGCCCTAGCTGTGCCCTGTGTGCCTGTCACTCAGCCTCCCCTCTGCACTGGACTGCCAGGGGCTATGCTGGTCCCCACGGGTTTCATGATCAAAGTGTAACTTACTTATTTGAGGCTCAGTTTGTCCTTAGCTGGCTCCGAGTTACAGCTACCAAAAGCCAAGATTTTGACTTGAGTAAATTCAAAAAGAATATGCACTTTGATTAAACTTAGTACTGTGGTTAGTTTTTACTTCTGAATTATGATGAAATAGGAATGAGAAATTCTGTAATTTTCATGGAAGTTCTGTTTGTTTTGTTTTATTTTGTTTTTGAGACAGGGTGTCTCTATACAGTTCAGGCTGCACTTAAACTGGCCAGGATTCTCCTGTCTCTGCCTTCCAACAGCTGGGATTACAGGTCTGTGCCACCACACCCAGCCTCTCTTAGCTCAGCGGCATAAGCGCCTGCCATGCAAGTAGACAGTCGTGAGTTCGATCCCCGGTACCGATAAAAAGGAAAAAGACAAAAAAAAAAAAAAAAAAAAAGAGGAAACAGATGTCTAAATCTAAACAAATAGATGCCTGTCTTTTAAATGATAGTGGACCTTAAGCTTTCCTAAGGTGCTGTACATGTGTGACATCCTGATCTTGTAGGTGTTAGGATCCTCATTTTAAGGACAAATAAATTAAGGTACAGAACAGCTGTGCAGTTTGTCTACCTATAGAAAGTTCTTTCAAACCCAAAAGTTTGATCTCCGTCTCATTTGTGAGCCGTCAAATTAAAATTTGATTCTTATATGCTGTGTAATTTGATAAATTCTTTCTTATTTCATTTCACTTAAAATTAGTATTAAGAAACATTTAGGGAAGACTACTTTATACTATGTGTGGATATTATTGCATTCTTTTTTAAAGATTAAGGCAGAGTTCATACTTACTGGCTATTATTACTTCATTAAAAAGATCTTTTTCCCATTTGTTTCAGTGTCACCTCTGTAGCCAGCACACGTCCGCTGAGGTGATGAGGAGGTTCCTGTTACTGTATGCCACACAGCGAGGACAGGCAAAGGCCATCGCAGAAGAAATATGTGAACAGGCCGGGGCGCATGGCTTTTCTGCAGATCTTCACTGCATCAGTGAGTCCGATAAGGTCAGAACTGTCACTTGTTTAGATTTCACTGTCCCTTATGCTTCCACATATTTTGGTTTGGAGTTAATGTTTGTTAAAAAAAATGACAAGATGATAATATAATCTTTTACCTGTCAAGGATTCCTTTTAGCAACAGTATTATAGATTTCAGCTGTGTTTTTTTTTAATGTAGAAATGTATGTTTGAATTAGGTTAAGCAGTCTCAGAAACCAAATAAGTAGCAGCTGCTCCTCAGCTGTCAGTGTGGGCAGTAGTGCAGGCCTTGTGTAGCTCACGAGGTGGCCCTGGGGGCAGATGAGACAGGTGTTTGTGTGCACATGTGTGCTCTCTACCTCGGGAACCTTAGTGTCTTATATCAGCTCCCCAAAGACCTGGACAATCCCCTGAGATTCCTTGGAGGAAGGGCCAATACCTAGATTATTTTGTGAGAGAATTTAGAGCAGTGGTGTAATCATTTGGACAGGATTCGGCTGCTGAAGGGCTGGGTCTACTGGTCTGTACATTTAGTACTTCTCTGCAGACAGTTCTATGTTAGGTTATATAAGACCATGACAGTTTGTGTTTTCTGTGTTTTTTTGTTTCCCCCTGGACTTGAGGTTGAACCTAGGGCTTTCATACCATTCCTGGTTCACTTTTTATTTTTTGTTTTGAAACAGGTGTTTTTTAAGTTTTCCAGGCCAAACTTGCATTGTTTCTGCATCAGCTTTCCAGGGTGCTGGGATTATAGGTGTGCACACCATACTCAGCTCTGTGTTCTTCTTTGAGTTGGTTGGGACTTCTGCATTGTACTTTTCCAGAAAAGTCAGGTGATGACAGTTAGCAGGCGCTTTATATATATAATATGCCAGCCACCGAGCAGTCTCGACTCACTTTGGGAGTGGAAAAGCTAGCTTGCCAGTGTCTTTTCACTCAGGTTTAGAGCCCTCTGTGACCTTCACAAGTCTCAGTTCCAAAGATGAGGCGGTCAGCAGCACAGAATGAATCGAAATCCCTGTTATCTGCTTCCTTCACGCAGCACTGCGAGTGTAGCTCCAGCTGCAGTCCCTGAAAGCAGACTTCCTGGAGGACACCATCTGTCCACCAGTGGGCAGGCTCTGTCATTGGATAGTGACCTGAAACAACTTATGTGAGGGTACTACTTGATGGACTGTGGGCCAATCTGTTACAGTGAAAAAATTACATTGTAAGAGTAGCTCTGATTAGTCACCGCCTTGAAGGAAAGGTGAAGGTGAAACTCACCACCACCTTAGCCGAGTTGTTAGCTGAATGGTTTCTCTAGTTGCTCATTACCTAAGTTGAAAAGATAGCTCCACTTTCTAGTTTGTAGTTGTCTTTTCTAAGGTTACTAACCCAAACTCTGTGCAGATATAACTTGTGTAGTGGCTCAGTGTTAAGGAATATTAGTTTAGCTTCTTACCATGTGGGTATGCAGGTGCCTGTGTTACTTCTCTCATTGCTAAGACCAAACACTTGATGCCAAAAATGAAGGAAGAAAAGATTTATTTAGCTCATGGTTTGTAGATGTTGCAGTCCATAATCAGCTGGCTCCAAGGCAGGGTGGTTTGGCAGAGGAGACACAGTTCATGGCAGCAAAAGCAACAAGAGCAAAAGGGGAGGAGCACAGAGAGAAGACTTTCAGTCCCTTATATTGTATTTGGGCCACGCCCACTTGGGTGTAGCACTCACACCATAATCCTAGCACTGGACCATGAGTCATTCATGAACACTAGAAGCCTGTCCCCATGACCGTATGAGGCTTTGTGGGGACATCCGGACTCACAGTTGTAACAGCAGGTGAGGGTGGGGGTGTCACTCAGTGAAAAAGCACATAGCATATACGAGGACCTGGGTTCAGAACTCAGCACCACGAAAAGTGAAAACATGAACGGAATTCTTTGGTTGTTCATGAGCAGGAAAGGCAATTGAGTTATTTAGAAAAAATGGTGAAATGCCCTATTTTAAGTAAATTTACATAGGAGCTGGGTGCGTGGGACTTGGCAACACCGAGGATCTGACTCTGCGGGGGCGGTACCCTCAGCTCTCTCCGCCCAGAAGGAGGGAGGAGCTGGGGTGGGTCATCAGGCCCCCGAGAGCTGAGGACTAATGCTTTTCATCTCCCAGCTTTAAAATGTCTTGTGTGCCTCTGCCTGTGGGTTTTATGTGCCGTGAGGGTGCCCGTATCTGCTGAAGATTTCTCAGGTGTTCTGTCTGCAGGTGCACTGAAATAGAAATAAATTGAAGAGCAGTGTCCGTTTTGCTGCACCTTGCTGTCCTGGTGTTTTAATCCTGTGTATTTAAGGATCTGTTGCATTACTGAGCTTCACACTTCTCTAAGTTTGAGATCTTTGCACCTTCCTTTCTGCATCCCCACCCCGTTAGCTGCCTTTGCTCCTTGGGAGCTCATTGCAGTTCCTCAAACGTCATCAGCTCTTTACCCCGGCCCATTTGCCTTGCAGATTGAGCTCACATGGCAAGTCTGGCCCAGAGCACTGTGGCAGAGGCGATTTTGCCCATCTCGCTCCTCTGGTTTTCCTAAGATGAAGGATTGGACTGTGAAAAAGCCCCGGGTGATGGGCCCTGGCTCGGGGGGAGCTTTGTGGAGAAAAGGACACAGGACGTGTCCAACCTTCTCAACCCCTTGGCCCACCACAGCAGAACAAAAATGTGCTTTCCTCTGAGCTGTGACCTGCTTTGGACAGCTTGACTGAACAGGGACTGGATTGGTCGTTCTACATGCATCTTTATAATGTGAAGAAGAGGAAAGTTGGAGGGAAATGCAAGATAGAGGAAGACAAACTGATGGCTTTGCCTTGAGCTGTGCTCGATCCCAAGTGCGTGCATGCGGCGTTAGCCCCTGACCTGATCTCTTTGTTTTGCAGTATGATCTGAAAATGGAAACAGCTCCTCTGGTGATGGTGGTTTCTACCACAGGCACCGGGGATCCACCGGACAGCGCCCGCAAGTTCGTTAAAGAGATCCATGACAAGACGCTGCCCGCCAACTGCCTTGCTCACCTGCAGTACGGGTTGTTAGGTAACAGACTAATTGTGCTCTTATTGTATGTGATTACTGGGTTTAACTCTAGGATCGGGATATTTCTTTAAAAACCTTGAGATGTAAAAGTATAAATGAGTGTAAATAATGCACCGTCTTATATAAGTGCTTCCTAGGTCTTTGCAGTAAGTCCCAGGTTCTCCCTGTAGAACCTGGGCGGTGGCTGCCCTCACCGAGGGTGCACAGCACTTCAACCATGAAGCATTGCAAACCATCAGCAGCAGGCTTCACCCCAAAACTAAAACAGATCCATAAGTGAAGTGTTTTGTACTGTTTCATTCTGTACAGCAGCAGTAACTACAAGCCAGGAAAATCCCCCAGGACCTTCTGATAGCTTCCCTGTCCAAGAGCCGTGCCTCTAGGACAGTGGCTTTCGATGCCCAGCTGTCCATCAGGGTTAGCTAGGGGACTTCTTAACGATTCCTGACATTCTGAGGTAGGGCTGTGGCATCAGTGCTTTTAGAAGCTCCCTGGTGATTGTTACAATGCATATCCCAGGTTAAGCACACTGGCCAGGGGCTCTGTGGAGTGGAGTTTAGACAGATAAGGTAATGGATCACAAGGGCCAGCACAGCCAAGTGATGCCACCTGAGAGGGAGTTGGCACTGGTTCTTAGCTCCATGGCTGTGGGGTTCACGTTCAAGGATCAGTTTTGTGAAATGGCATCTAGCCAGGATGGGTTATGCTTTGGTAACTGACCAGAAACTTCAGTTTGTAACCCTAACTAGGACCTGGCATCTGTGGCCTGCACATAACTGTGTTTTGAAGTGTTCACAGGTTTTTTAAACTGAAGCTTTTCTGGTTTCTGTGTTTTCGAGAGTACACCTACATCATTCTGAAAAGCCTGCAGAACACTTATAAAGACCAAACTAAAGCCCATTCGGTCATTCTGGTCAATACTGGACCTGCATATGGACCAGCATTTTCTCATCCCTTTATTAGAACAGAGCATGGGGTAATTAAACAGCGGAGAATCCAGAACTTTGAATGCTAAGGTTTCCCCCAGGTATGAAATGGTTTTCTTACTGTGAAACACAAGCAAATCCAGGTTTACTCAGCATAGACAGTTACAGCAGTTAGTTATTTTGGCACATGGTCTTTGTAGTCTGCATCACCACTGCCTGACTGCGCTTGGAACCTCAAAGCCACTTTAACCCTATGTAAATAAACCGAGGTCCAGTGTTCCAATAAAACTTTATTAACAAAACCAGTAGCAGGCAGTGTGTGGTTCAGAGGCAATGGTTGACAGACTCCTGATAAAGATAGAAAGGTGTGTAGACAGAGATGTGTACTTTGTTTTTGCATTTTGGTGGTGCTGGGGTTTGAACCTGAGGCTTTCAAACTGAGCTACATCCCCAGCCTTTTTCTTTTTCCTGTTTTCCTTTTTGAGACAGGGTCCCCTAAAGTCACTGAGTTGCCCACCCAGCCTGGGCTTGAAGTCCTCTGGCCTCAGTCTCCCAGCACGCAGCCGGGCTTACCGTGGTGCACCACCGCCCTCAGCCAATGGTTTAGTGCTGCCATCTGCCTCTAAGCCTTGTTTTAAGATTTCCCTATTTTGCACAGGGTCATGGAAACAGAAATGTGGAGTGTGTATATTTCTTTGAATAGCAGCCTGCATTTTCTTTCGGAGTACCTGGTTCTGTAAGGTTATAAAATATAAGGAAATTATTGGCGTACTTAGTGTTGTAAAGAGCGTGAATCAGTGCATCACAGGGGTGAAGTAGCATTGCTTTAGGGACTTTCTGTGTTCTTGCATCTTTTACATTTAAAGCCGACGCGCGCCCGCTGTCTATTGAACTCTAGGTCTGGGTGACTCGGAATATACCTACTTCTGCAATGGGGGAAAAGTGATCGATAAACGGCTTCAGCAGCTCGGCGCCCGACGCTTCTATGCCACTGGCCACGCCGATGACTGTGTAGGGTAAGAGCAGTGACGTCTGTTTGTCCTGGGAGCCGTTGTTTATGCCTGACGGAGGGGAGTTGGCCAAGTGTGTGGCTCCATTGCAGCACTGACACTTTCACCTGTAAAGTCATATTACAGTTTTTCTGGTTTTTTGGGTTTTTTTGTTGTTATTGTTTTGTCTTTTCGAGACAGAGTTTCACTATACAGTCCTGGAATTCAAGAAATTCTCCTGCCTCATTCTCCTGAGTGCTGGGATTACAGGCGTGCACCAGAGCACCTGGCTTGAATATACATTGTAGTAGTTTGTACCTTTTGTATTTTTGATGTAATTACTTTATTTGAATTTTTCTCTCTACCTAAAATGAAGAGATTTTCCAGAAGACTTCCCTGCTGAATTTACCATCACACCGAAGGTCACAGACCCAAGTCTGAAAATTTGGGTTCAAATTCTTTTTCCTGCACCCACTGACTAAAACCTTTGTTCCTTGCCTGTTTCTGCTGTGGTTTCTCCCTCGAGGAAGCAGATGACAGGAGCACTCCCTGTGGAGCTACTGAGGATTGCTGACTAGCCAGCACAAGTTCGTCTCTGAGAAATGTGCTGTCCCACGCTGAAAGCTCGGTACACACCAGCTGTCTTCACCATGAGGTCAACCTAACCTTTCTGCGTTCTGAGGGTAGTATTTTAAGTGCAACTGTTCCTGAACGCACGGTTTTAGTAACCTGCTTTCCTGAGGCCCCTCGGGCCAGACAGGTTGTGTGACCAGATATTGAAGTGTGTACCGCTTGAGCACAGCGCAGTTACGGCCTGAGTCCTCATAGGTCGGTGTCCTCCTCTTGATGTCCTGGGTGAGCGAGGGAGGAACTGGTAGCGTCTTGGGCACAGAGGTGGCGGAGGTGTCCGTCCTTGTCCCAGCTCTGACACAGCGCCCTGACGCAGCCTTCTTGTCCACGCTCACTACTCAGCTTCTCTGTGTGGTGGATGTGGGGCACTGGGCTCTGCTGTGGAATTAGTAACTGGACCACTACGTTTAAAGAGTGATTAATTCAATTTTCCAAAAGATGGTTGCTTTTTCTGAGGTCAGAATCAGCCTCCCTAACACTTTTACCAAAAAAATTGTTCAGAACTGATAAAAAGACTGCAGTTCGGCATTAATCCAGAGTGATTTCATGATATTTTCATCTGTAAGAGAAAGATCAGTAAATTAAGCAAAAAGGATGGTGGCTTTGGCTGATGGAATGATCGTTTGTCACGTCAGAGCAGCTGTGGATTTTGCCAAGTTCTGTTAGTGTCATCAAGATTTAGCACAACTCTTTAAAATTAGTTTCTGAAAATGAAGATTATCAACTCTTCTAGAAAAGTAAGAAGAATCATGACTCCTATTGTCTTATTACTAAGATGCCTCATATCTCACTTCATTTTTTTGATCTGCATGCATGCTTTTTTTATTTTATGGAAAAAAACTAAAATTTAATAACAATAATAGGAGAATAAAATAGGGACTACATTGAGTATTGTTATCTTTGAGGTAGTTAATCAGAGTGCAAGGTATGGGCATAAAAATTCTCCAGACGATATTAGCACGAACTTTTCAGTGAACTAAGAGAAACTAGTGCTATAACTATCTTGTATTTTGTTTTTTTCCTTTTCCCTTCCTTCCTTCCCCTTCCCCCTGACCTCGCTCCTTTTTGCTGTTGAACAAGCTCACATTATTTGGAGCTACAGTGTTAATGAACATGTGATACTGTTCTGCTCTTTGGAAACTCGTCATTTATTCTATCTTTTGCAGTTGTTATTTCTTTTTAGTCCTTGTTTGCAGTGCATAACTACTGCATTCCTCGTGGGGCATACACATCTCAATTCTTTTTCATACCTTTTCCTTTCCCTAAAGAATTAAAAAGAAATTAGACTCCAAAAATAAAAGACCCAATCAAAACATGGCCAGCTGAAATGAATAGACTCTTACAAGGAGGAGCTACACATGGTCAGTTAATATAGCAAAAAATGTTCCACATCACTGGCCATTAGAGAAACATAAATTAAAACAGCACTGAACTTCCATCCCACTCCTGAAAGAATGGCCATCATCAAAAAAATCTAACAATAACAAAGGCTGGTGAGGTGGTGGTGGACAGGAACCGGCCCACCGCATTGGTAGGCTGTGAACTAGACGACCCCTGAATCAGCATGGGGGTCCTCTTGATGTATTAAATTCGCAGTGTGGCTCACAGTTGCATGTAGTGTTGTGCTAAATGGACGTTCTCCGACGGTGTCTCATTTTTGTGTTTCAATGGACGTCTTCGGCATTTGTTTGTTTTTTCCTTCTCATTGCTTCCCAGTTTGGAACTCGTGGTTGAGCCGTGGATCGCTGGACTTTGGGCCGCTCTCGCAGAGCACTTTAGGTCAAGGGAAGGACGAGAGGAGATGAATGGGGCACTCCCCGGGGCGGCACATGTGCAGCCCGGGTCGCTCCAGATCGAGTCTCAGGTGGGACTTCTGAGATTGGATGATGCAAGGAGAAAGGACCCTGAAGGTCTGGAGCCGAATGAGACGAATGGAGGTCAATCAGGGGCTGGGACTGAAGACCCCGAGCCCTCGCTGATCTGCTCGGTCCCTCCACTCTCGCAAGCCTCTCTGAGTGTCCCTGCCTCCCCGGCAGCGTATTTACAGGTGCATCTGGAGGAGCCTCCGGGCCAGGTGAGCCCTTCCACTGTGTGCTGGGTGATGTTGTTTAATCATAGTGTTTGCTTTGGGGTTTGTTTGTTTTTGTTTTTTTGCTTTTGAACAAAGGTCCGAAAATGGTGGGTCCATTGCCAGATTCATTGCCACTGTCTCTCGGCTATGAATAAATCTGATTAGCACACAGCCAGACCTGTTTGTCTGCATAGTACCTGTGGGTACTTTGAGCTCTAGTTGCAAAGCTGAGTGAGTGCCCCACGGGCGTGAGAAGCCACAGGCCTTTCCTGTCTGGCCCTTTTCCAAAGAAGCAGCCTGTCCTAGTGATACAGGGTGGCCTGTGTTCCTGATGGAGCATCCCTAGCCTGAAAATCGGAAATGCTCTACAGTTTTAAGTTGTCAAGCATTGGGGTGCTGTCACAGCTGGAAAGTTACACACCTGTGTCGGTCTGCATTCTGTCACTGTGATGGAGCACCTGAGAAAATCAAGTCACGGGCAGCGTGGTTCATGTGGTCACAGGCTCAGCGACTCAGGCCTTAGTCTCTTGTCCTGTGGCTGCTCAGTGTGGGAGGCAGCACCTCATGGTGGGCGCGGGTGTGGGTGCAGCGTGTCTCCCCTCACAGCACCCAGGAAGCAGAGGAAGAACGGGTGGGGCCAGCAACAAAACACAGACTTGGAGCCCATCTCGGTGACCTTCTTCTCCGACCTGGCCCCACGGGCTATAGATCCCCCAGCACAGGCTCAGCCTCAATCCAGTCTCCACCTCTGTCCACTGCTACAGGCAGGATGTGGGCTTTTGGAGGATACTTTAGGACCTGAAGTGTGACAGTGCTGGCCTGACACAATGGGCTGTGGTCACTGTGCCGGAGCCCTGAAAGCAGGAGGTGGTGGTGTGTAACAGACAAGGAGTTTTAGATGCCCATGAGCTGCTCTTCTGAAAAATGAGGTCTGTGTGTCTGGCCATTCACCTTGGAAGGGAGTCCTGAGTATCCAGGGAGTTTTGTAAGACCTGACAGGACCTGTGTGGTCACTAAGGGAAGGAATGACCGTATCGCAAATGGCTTTTCTATTGTCTTTCATCACGTTCCTTTCTCAAGGAGCAAGGTCAAGCACCTGCGACTTCAGCCGGGGAGCCAGTCTTTCGAGTTCCAGTTTCAAAGGCCGTTCAGCTTACTGCGAGCGATGCCATCAAAACCACTCTGCTGCTGGAACTGGACATTTCTGTGAGTCACGAGGGACCCCCAGAGCCTGTGTGGTGCTTGCTTCCGGGGAGAACAGGACGTCTTCAGCGGGACGTGCGGGTGTTTCATTTACTTGTTTATTTTGGTCCTGGGAATCAAACTCCGGCAGGCACTGTGGACTGTTTCATTCTTGGCCATCGCTTCTGCTCCTCACCTCGTGCAGCTGGCCAGCGAGAGTGGGGTCTGTTTCCCTCCTAGGGGAGGAATGGGAGCGAGTTCCCTTCCCTACAAACTCTTCCCCTAAAAGGGAAGAACGCAGGAAAAGAACACTGAAAATGAAGGCAGATGGCCTTAAGTAGCTTCTTTAGGTCGTAGTGTGTATACACTGTGTGTGTCTGTGTGTGTTGTATAAGAAGTTTTACACAGATCACCTGAAACTCAGCCGTACCGTACTCTGCGAAGGTGAGGCAGGTCTGATTTGCATTGTGTAAATGTGCAGTGATGGAAGGCCCTACAGGACCCTGCACAATTGCCAGGTTTCTTTTCTAAAATAACTCCTGATACATTGTATTAGGAGTTGATTAACTGGGCTGACTTGTTAGTTAATTTTTTTTTTTTTTTCTTTTGGTACCGGGGATTGAACTCACAGCTGCGCGCTTGCAAGGCAGGCACTTATGCCGCTGAGCTAAATAAATCCCCAGCCACCCCCCCCCACTTCTTTTTGCAGTTACAGTAATTTTGTATTTTGTTTCTGTTGGTTTTGTTGATACATGGTTGTGGGTGACACATACCAGTTGCATTCACTGTGGGGAGTTTGTGCTTGTGCATACCACATTGAATTCTTTCTGGAGAATTCTTTTTAGGAGAATGCTCATAAGTGAAAACTGTTTTTGTTATTGCACAATTTAGATGCAGGACCTCCTTCCATTTTGATTCTTCTCTAGAAAACAGATTTCTCCTATCAGCCGGGCGATGCCTTCCATGTGATCTGTCCGAACAACGACTCAGAGGTGCAGGCCCTACTCCAGAGACTGCAGCTCGCTGAGCAGCGAGACCACCACGTCCTCTTGCAGGTCAAGGCGGACACCAAGAAGAAAGGTACGCAGGTGCCAGACGCAGCGGGAGCACAGGGTGCTGGTCTGGAGCTTCCTAGCGTGAGCGCCCTGGGCTGTCTCAGTTGGCTGTGCAGGTGCCAGGCTCAGCCACGCCCGGGGGTTGGAGGCACCCCCAGCTTTGTTGGGTAACTGCAGAGCAGGTGAGGGTGCATTTTATGCCTGTTAGATGCTTGGGGATGTGAAAAGAGAACAGAAGTGACCTGCAAGCACTAGTGGCTGGGACCGTTTTAGAAAATGGTTTTCCTGTTGTGTCTGCTTCTTACCACCACCTACTACTGCTTTTATTATAAATATTATAATATTATAGTATTTATTTAATATATGAAATACATTAAATGTTTATTAAATAAATATTTAATAAACTAAATGTTTATTTAATAAATTTCAAATTTAATAATATCCAAATTTAATAAATTAAATGTTTATTTAATAAACAAATATTTATTTAATAAATATATAAATATTATAATATTTAAATATAATAAAAATAACTGCTTTCCCCATAATCAAATCAAATATATAAATCAAAATCAGTTATTTATTTTAAAAACTATATTTTCTTACAATCCGAAGCTTGCATTCAGTCCTGAAATACTTTTTGACAATAGTGTATATTCCAGCGGCACACTGCCATTTGTTTTTAGATGATTTTTTACTCTTTTATTTGGCATGTCTTGAATTAATAATTCTTTTTTTTTTTTTCATGACATGGGATTTTTCTTTTATATTCATACTGGGGGAACTTTTTGGCCGATTGACCATTGCCACAAGTCATTATACGTTAATAAGTGTTTACAACATGAAATGTTCACTGAGTTTCCGGGATGCAGAGATTGCTCCCAGATGTTTTGTGCTAACTCGTCAGTGTTTGTGTGTCCTGAGTACCTCTCCTCTGTCTTCCTGGGAAGGAGCTGCCCTGCCCCGGCACATACCTCAAAGGTGTCCTCTCCAGTTCCTGTTTACCTGGTGCCTTGACATCCGAGCAGTCCCGAAAAAGGTATTTTCCTGTGTTCTGTGTGTAACTGTTTAAAGTGTGCGTATCTCTGTTTAGGATTTCTTTTAAATACACCTAGGATCTGCCTTTTGAATCCTTAGGAAGTAACATCTTTGTAACACATTTTAAAAATCAGTTCCCAGGGATATGTGATATCTTTATAATTGTTGTAATCAAATATTTTTATGTCATGTTTATATTGAAGTTTTTGTTTTCCATTGCAATGAAATTTATGAAATCAGTCTTTCTCTTAGTCTCTTTTTCCCCAGACATTGACTTACATATAGCACATTAAACGGTGATGAAATCCTGTCCAGGGACATTGCTGGTTTTTATCTCATTGGTGAAGGAAGGTCATGAGACTCTGGGGTCTTCAGTGTACATGTATGTGTGGCCATTTCTCAAGTTATTTAGATCACTTTTAGGTAACTCTGTGTAATTCCTTAGTGATGAATCGGAATTCTTTAGGAGTAGTTGAGGGTTTTGGGTTAGGTTATAATACTATTTAGATGAATTCGCAGACACAGCAGTCCACTAGAGGTCAGTATCATCGCAGAAAGAATATTTTCTTGAAACTGGTTTCTTTTAGCAGTCTCCCTCTAGTGGACATAGTGGATCCATTTCCCAGCTGTGCCATGCCTTGCTTAGGTTGTCAGTGTGCCTGGGGAGTCCTGTCACCAGGCGCCCCTCCCTAATGGAGCTCTGTTGTTTTTTTTAAAGTAGTTTCTTATTTATTTTTTGTATTTCTGATTTTGGGAACACAAATTAAGTCGTAGATGTAATTTGAGTAAATTTAGAATTCACTATGATGAGCTCGTCTGATAAAATTCAATAAATTCACAAAATTTTGGTTTAACTATTTTAAAAACACACACACACACACACATATATATATATAATGGATATCTGTATTTCTCTTTCAACTACAGAAATTATGTGCTCACTGTAGAAATTATAGATATGAAAAAATAACCCAGGAAGTAAAAGTTTTTCACTGCAACCCTGAGTTTGTATTACAAATCCTATAGTGCATGTTTTATACTATAACTTGTCCTTTTTACTTAAAAAATATTTACAGTTCAAAGTGTAGTAATGTTTGTGTTCTCTGTCAGGTTGTTCTCTAAAAATAAATTTTTCTATTTTAAGCCCATAAAGTTTCTGTAGTTCTAAAGTAAAAAGTGTCTTAAAGTATTTATAATTGCCACTGTTTTGACCTGTAATTGAAGAAATGTTGACTTTAGAGTTTACAGATTGTTATTGGTAAACTCTCCGTTTCTTTGCATAGATCTCTGCCGTGGTCTGGGCACTGATTGATTGATTGATTGATTGGTTTTCTTACTGCCTGTTTCTGTTCTGCACTGAGTTTGGAACTTGGGGAACACATACAATTTGTTGGTCTCCAGATATTTTAGGGAGAGGTTCCTAGGCTTCTAGTTTCATTGAGAGCAAAATGGTTAGCAAGCTTGATATTTTATCCAGGAATTTGGACTTGGTTTGGTTTTTACACTTGGGTCACTTACGGCTTTCCCCTCTTTCCACACTGGCCTGAGATGAATAAGAACCACGGGCAGGGGCATCCTTCGTGTTCTGAACCCTGCTGTCCCTCCAGCCTGCTATCCAGCCTTGCCTGTCTCTGAGCTCAGCTGCCCTTGCTGACCCCCCTGCCTCTGTGCCCCCACCGGTGTACCCCCTGTGTGGACAGCTACTTCCTGCTTACAGGTGGCCAGCTTCCTGGGGCCGGCTGGGAGCCCGTTGGTCCTGCTGTGCCCCGGGGCACACCAGTTACTCATTTGCTCCTGTTGTTGTCGCCCGCCCATGAAGCTTTCTGGACAAATGTGGAGGCCATGTGATCCCCAGCACCTCATTCGCCCCGTGTCTGGCTTATAAAAAACATGGTTTCCAGATACATGTGGGGAGGGTGGGTAGTTTTCATCTGGCAGGAGAACAAGCACGCATTTGGAGCTGCGTTGGGAGACGCTGCGGTCGTGCTCTCAGCCACCTGCTGTGTCACTGGAGACCACACTTGTGGCAGATGGAGTTGCTGAGATTAGAAGACAGATGACTGGAGCTGGAACATGAAAGCAGGATTCTCCTAGCAGGGCAGCACTAAGACAGATAGAAAATCAGCACTGGAAGTGGTCCTGTCCCCGTGCCTTGGGTAACCGAGCGTGACCCCAGGCAGTCTCATCAGCCCTCCTCCTGTGCTGTTTTGTTTCTCACTTCAGTGGTAAGGGCTAGACTGGGGGCCTTGAGCATGCCAGGCGAGGCTGTACCCCCGGGCAACACCCCAGCCCCTCACAGACACGAAGCCGGGTTGTCACTGAGTGTCCTGAAGCCGGTGTCTTTTCCAGGCATTTGTGCGAGTGCTCGTGGACTACACCAGTGAGGGTCCCGAAAGGCGGCGGCTGCTGGAGCTGTGCAGTAAACAGGGAGCAGCGGATTACAGCCGCTTTGTCCGAGATGCCCGCGTCTGCCTGCTGGATCTGCTGTGCGCCTTCCCGTCCTGCCAGCCACCACTTGACGTCCTGCTCGGTGAGTCATCTCTCCCATGGTGACTGTCCGGACAGGCAGCCTGCTTACTCCTCTATCTCGTGCAGTGGGAGTAGTGGGCACACATGCCAAGGATAGTTTGTCACTGAGGAAGCATCTCGAATCCCATCTGCAGTGACATCTGGGCTGTGCTCTAGAAGCCCTTGCAGGATTTTTCTGGAGTGGTCCTTTTGCCAAAATTTGACTCAGTTTGTGTGCTTTCTGAAAAAAGATGGGGGTAACTGAAGTACACAGAAAGACCTCCCCGAGGTAGGTCCATAGTGAGGACCCTTCTGGAGCAGGAGGGGCCTCTTTGAGTCACACTGGTGACAAGCTGACAAATTCATGGTACTTGGAGGCAGAACCCCACCCCAACACACTGTGCATGGAGGGAAATCCTTCAGTGTCCACTCTGACTCTCGGGATCCTTGCGTCCCACAGAGGACGGGTCGGCGCCTTCCCCCAGCTGTCCTTGATGACGCCGAGGGCGTGGCCTCCTGAGCTCCTCTGCTTCCTGCAGTGTCAGAGTCGGAGCCTGGCTGTTTGCAGGTGTCTCATTGGTGACCCTGAAATGCTTCCCTTTCTTTTGAGGTCAGTAGGGCTGTCTTAATTCCTGTATGGTAAAGGCATGCTCCTTACAAGCCATGCAAGTCAGCTCCTTATTTCTCCTCCTCTCTTTGTGGGTTTTTTTTTTTTTTGCTTTTTTGAGACAGGGTCTTGCTATGTAGCTCAGGTTGCTCTTGAGCTCACTTTGTAGTCCAGGCTGGTCTGGAATGTACAGTGATCCTCTTGCCTCAGCCTTCTGAGTGCTACGATTACAGGGGTGCACCACCACGCTCAGCCTCATATTTCAATAACATTGTAGGTGAAACACACACACACACACACCCCACCCTGCTGTGGTTGGGCTGATACCCGAAACCTTTTCAGTTCAGTGTCTCAAGTGGGGCTGGGGTAGCAATCAGAACATAGTTCGTTCAGGAAGCTAAAGCCAGTCTTGGGAAGTTCTCAACCATACATGAACGTGTCCGGGGTTTGTTTGTTTGTTTTGTGGTAGATTCCTGTTATCTTTTTAAGCTTTTATAAAATAGGGTTTATTACATGATTATATTTCAAAAAACATTGAGATCTATAAAAATTTAAATTATTAAGGTGAACCACTGACTAAACCTTACTCAAAATACATGTGAAAACTCTAAGCTATTTTCGATAGTTTCAAAATTTTGGTTAAATAACTACTGGAATTATACTACACTTAAAAATTCCAAAATTTGCTAATCAGTGATTCAAATATTGATTAAATATTAAATTCAAATTGACTAAATATTAAATGGTTTCTTATGTATTTTGGAAACTACTAGGTTTCAGGATAATTTGGTTGAGAAATCACCACTGCCAGACATGTTTTTTTTTTACAATGTAAGAAGGAAGCATATTCATGCCCCTGTGTATTTCTAATAATCCTAAAAATAGTGGCCTGTAATCTGTTTAAGGCTGTGCTTTTATTTCAAAACCCTGAACATTTCACACAAAGTCACACACTGTATCAGGGCTGGGCGGCCCCTGGTCCTTAGTGTCTTGGTTTATGAAACTTGACGTTAAGGTAGAAGTTCTGGTTTCAGAGTGAGACAGTGCATGTTTGGCTTTAACTCTGGGAAACAGAGGAATAAACTAGAAATATTGCACAGACACAACGAATTCATATGTAGCATGAAAAACGGGATCAGAAACTAGAAGGTAAGTTAATTTAGATGTTCCAAATAAGAAAAAACAGGGTCAAATAGAGGCCTTGAAGCTTTTTACCTTTGCATAAAAAGTTGTGTTCAGCAGTAGTGAATTAATACTTGCTTGTTTTTTAATTTTCTTCCTAGAACATCTTCCTAAACTCCAACCCCGGCCGTATTCTTGTGCAAGGTACTGCTGTTCACTCACATAATGTTAAGCACCTTTTCCCCCTAAATTTAAGAAGGTCTGACTTCCGGGCCCTCCATTGCCACTAAGGCATGGGGACGTCTGAACGTGGAAGGTGCCAGGCGTGATCAGGTGTGGAACAGAGAAGCCGTGAAGACCCAGTCTTCCAGCACGTCCCAGAATCGGGATTCTGGCCGGCTCCCCTCTTCCAGAACTGGTCCCCGACTCAGGGCAGCCACTGCCAAGGTCATCCACCACCCTGGCTGCTGTAGGAGGGCGGGGAACACCGGGCACTGTGCTGAGAGGCCCAGGCCGCTCCCGCCTGGCGCCTTCCTGCACCATTTGGTGACCTCCCTGTCCCAGTTGCTCTGTCGCCTGCCTCAGCTGTGGGGACAGGAAGTGTGCTTGCAGGACCGAGCACAGCACCCGGAGTGCTTTACCCTGACAGAGCATGTAAAAAGAAATGGGTAGAAAAATCCTCTAAAGATGTCTTCTCTTGGTGAATTTTTATTTTTCTGGATATGCATTCCTCAGTAACTTTCAAATTTTAACTCAGTAATGGCTATTTCACAGGGTTTATTTCTGACCTTTCACAGGGTGAAAGGTCTATAAATATCGGGTCTTTTACATGGTGACCCTTAGGCTCTGTTTTTATAGATCTTAGCTAATGTTGAAGCAAATTAAATGACGTTTTCCTGGGTGATCTCACAAACGAGGTGGGCAAGAGGGTGAGGTGGGTACCACTGCTTTGCTCTGAGGAGCTGGAGGGCAGCTGGGAGCCCACCAGGCACTGTTTCCTCATGGCAGTGGAGAGAGGATTCTCCACCTGCCGAGCTCAGCAGGTCCTGCTTGTGTGTCTTTGCAGCTCGAGTTTGTCCCACCCAGACAAGCTTCGTTTCATCTTCAACATCGTGGAGTTCTTGTCACACACCCCGGCAGCGGTGACGCTGCGCAAGGGCTTGTGCACGGGGTGGCTGGCCGGCTTGGTCGCCTCATCTCTTCAGCCAGACTCACAGGCATCGCCTGCAGACGGTGGCACAGCCCCGGCTCCTGAGGTACTCAGGGGACGGCCGGGCAGCTCGGCAGCTCGGCTGTCTGTCTGCCAAGGAGAAGCAGCCTCTCCTGCACTGTGCATTTCAGCGTTAGCTTGGTTATGCCCAAGAAATGGTGTGCTGTGCTCGGGTTTCTGAAATCTCGGGGAAGGTTGGAGGAGCACTACCTCCTTCCCCTTCCTGCTGACTGGCCTGTAGGCTGTGACTCTGGAGCGTCCACTTCCTGGGACCAGCCACCCTGCTTGTCCTGTTCCTAGGAAAGGAAGCCTTTTCTGGGTGTGGGGAGGGGCAGGGAAACATGGGGCCACCATGTTTGAGGGTCAGGCCAAACTCTATTGCACACTGGACCTTGGCAGTTCAGGTCTCAGGCAGAGGCCTCCTCCAGGGTCTGGGCCTGCTCTGACAGTGACATTTGGAGTGGCAGCTCTCCTTTCCACGCCTGCTTCATCTTACCCCTCAGGACTCACGGTTCCCGTCACCCTGGGGGCATTGTTGAATGTGAGCTCCCTGAAGACGGAACGTCCATTTGTTTGCCTCTGTCCCCAGTGCTGGCCATACTGAGACCTATAAGTAAACAAATGAGAGACTCAAGTGAGTCTGTCTAATGTAATATTAATCACTGTCTCATCCAAACAGGGACCATAATTAGACACAGCTCTGCTGATCTCTCACTGAGGATGTTTAATGTTCAGTCTACTTGTGAGCATCTTGAATTTTCATTGAATTAAACATGAACGCTGAACGTGTAGACAGTTCTGCCACCTTGCAGGGTGGGTGGAATCCTGCCGTTCCTACCCTCAGTGAGCTGCGGTGTGGCTTAGGCGTAGGACAGAGTGACACTGGAATGACACACATCTTAATTCCTTCATATCCTTGACACACAGTTTGGAGGCAGAGAATCTTTGGGAATTTTAACAGGATCTGAACTGTCTCACGTATGCGTCTGGCTTTACACAAGCACATCATTGTGGGTGATGATGCACACGGGATCCGGTGGTGGCACAGCTGTCTGGAGTCTCAGGGCAGCCCCTCCGTCTCTGCCTCCGGGTCTCCTACTTACATTGAAACTGTCAGCCCCACTGTGCTGCGCGTCCTCCTGGCGTTTTGTGCACAGAAGTGAAGAACTGCCTTTTTTGTGTGCATTTCTTCGTACTGTGTGTGATTTGTTGCCTACTAGAAAGCAGATCCCTGGACCTGGGAAAGTAAGTTGTGATCTATTCATGGTTCTCAATGGTACAATGCCTGCGATTTAAAAGCCTTCTTGGTAATGGCAAAAAACACGAAGTTTTCCAGGCAGCATCTCTGCAGTGCCAAATGTGTTTACAGTCTCTGTAAGACCTGATGGCGCTGTGTGCTTTAGTGCTGGTTCCTTGGCCAGTGTGCGTATTTTTCTGTTCTTGGCAGATCTCAGCTTGGTTCTATGCTCTCACGCAGGCTTTCATATCACAAATGGCTTCGTATTGCAGATATCCATCTCTCCTCGAGCAGCCAGTTCTTTCCACCTGCCTGAGGACCCCTCGGCCCCCGTCATTATGGTGGGCCCCGGAACCGGCATCGCGCCCTTTATCGGTTTCCTACACCATAGGTACGCACTCATTTTGGTTAGTGGGGAAAACATCATTTGTGATCCTAGGTGGAAATATTGGCCTTTTTCATTTCTTCAGTGGTTTTAAAAATTCTTACTAGAAACAATTATTATCAGAAATCACCGTGGGAAAAAAAGACTGTGTCTCCAACATTGTGCTTTGTACTGGTGTTTCTTTATTTACTGTGGCGGATACCTCTGCTGTGCTGTGGCCTGTAGTGTATGTAACTGGGGTCAGATTTCAGCCTGTGTTCATGCAGTGATGAGGGTCAGCCACTCCATTTATTCCTTAAGTGAATAAAGTTGGTAATAACAGATTGAGTTATAAGGTTCAAAGTGAAAGACCATATAGACATCAGTAATGTCAGCATGATATCAACGTGATTGTTAGTAATGGTCTTAACTGATACAGCAGGGTCGGGACAGGACCCCTTGTTGTAAAATAAGCCAGTCATGCTTCTCTCCACGTTTGTGAATGAATGAGTGGGGTCTTTTGTTTCTTTCCATTTTGTTCTTAAAGCAAAAGCACAGTGGTGACGCACTCTGTCTCATTGGTGTGTTTATCATTTTATCACTACTCTATCCATTCCACCTGTTACCTCATTCATGAAACTGTTGCTAACATCACTTGACATAGAGCTCACTCCAGGTTTCCCAGCATGGTGTTTTTACTGTATATTTTATATGGAGCGCAGGGAGATCCACAGCTTCCAGACGTGCCTACTGTGATTGTACCGTGTGCCAAGTGATCACGATGGCCCGTGCAGCTAGGAAATACCTGAGCTCAGCCTTTGCAGCTCGTAACTTCCGAGGCTCTGGTTCCGTTGGCTCCCCTGCTTTGGGCCGTGACAAGCCACTGTGCTGTGGGAAGACTGTGGCAAAGCAGAGCTCCTGCCTCGTGCCCAGTACACAGTGGAGGAAGAGAAGGGGCTTAGGGGCCAAGCTCCCCAGCCGCCTGCAGAGTCCCATCTGGGCCCTGCCCTGGGACAGTTACACTGCCTTTCAGTGATGCTGCCCAGGGTGAGCCTTAAAGTGCAGGGCCATTGGAGGATTCTCCTGATCTTACCAGCTCGGGAGCAGCCTGCTTGCTTGCTTTGCCTGTGCCAGGCCCTGGTTCCACCCTCGGTCTCACACACAAATAAGTAAAACAAAGAGGTTTCTGATCTTAGCACATATATATACTACATGTGTGAACTTGCAAGGACTGTAAAGATGGACTCTACAAACTTTATCGGTGGTTTTTTGATGAGAAAGAGGTTTGCTTTACACTGTGTTAACATATTCTCTATATCAAACATGCCACCTTTCTTCTTTTCTAGAGAGAAGCTCCAAGAGCAGCAGCCAGATGGAAGTTTTGGGGCGATGTGGTTGTTCTTTGGCTGTAGACATAAGGAGAGGGACTACTTATTCAGGTACCGCACAGGCCGCTGGGCGTGGGTTCTGATGTTCAGACCTTTTCACCTTTAAGCACAACTCTCCTGTGCCCACGGTGTGTTGCATTTCAGAGAGGAGCTCGGGCATTTCCTGGAGCGTGGAGTCCTGACTCACCTCAAGGTCTGCTTTTCAAGAGACGCCCCTCTGAGTGGGGAGAAGGCCCCGGTGAAGTATGTACAGGACGCGCTCCGGCTGCACGGCCAGCAGGTGGCGAGGGTCCTCCTCCGGGAGAAGGGCTGCATTTACGTGTGTGGGTAAGTGGCCTCCTGCTTCCGCGCCCCGTGCAAGAAGGCAGCTGGTGATGTTTATAAAAGAAACAAAAGAACCCGGGATATAGCTCAGGGGCATAAATGCCTGCCTGGCAAGCACAAGGTCCCAAGTTCAATTCCAGCTACCAAAGAAAAGAAAAGACAAGACAAGCCTGACAGGCTAGTAATCTAGATACACAGGCAAGGCCAAGGGACCAATCACAGGCATTTAGATTTGTGCACTGAGGATTTGGAAAAGCCTGTTTTGAAAGGCAATCTTACATTCGTTTTTAGAGATGCGAAGAACATGGCCAGTGATGTCAATGACAGCCTCGTGGAAATAATAAGCAAAGAGCTTGGAGTCGACAAGCTAGAAGCAATGCGAACGTTGGCTACTTTAAAAGAAGAAAAGCGGTATCTTCAGGATATTTGGTCATAAAAGCAGAAAACAAAGGAAAACGTATAAGCCTTTTTGCTGAAAATATTAAACAACAATGTCATGAAGTCAAGATTCAAATCTTTTGAAATCTTTTTTTAACATTTTTTTGCGGGGCCCGGAGAGGAGTGAGACAGCACAGCAGACTTCCTGATGCGCCTTAGCCTCCTCGCCCACTCCCTTCCCGAGCCTGTGACCCTTCTCAAAGTGCCTGTGTGTGGCTCCCGAGCCCGGGGCCAGCCTCCAGCTCCCCAGCAGGTCCTCGGGTCTGCGGCACTGGGGAGACCTCGCCGGCTCTGTGGGCCTAGGAGGCTCGTGGGGTGTCAGAGGGGCTGGAATGGGCTGGGGTGCAATTCTTGTGAACTTCCCATGCTAACTTTTTTTTAAAATAATGTGAAGGTCATAAGTCTTTTGTATGATACATATTCATAAAGAATATCTACATTGGTTTATTTAAATTATACATGTAGAACCTACCTGTTGTATATTTATATAATTATCAAATGGTTATTACCGAAAGTATTTCTGATAAAAATATTTTAATTTTAAATGAGTCCGCAAGAGTTTTTATGAGATTAAAACTGAAATATATTTTGAAGTTGTGCTCTGGCCTATTTTTTAAATCACTTTTTAAATATAACCCCAGAATTTAAGGACAGTTTCATTCGGTCCCAGATGCCCGGATGTGCACATTCTACTAGTTACGAGTGTTTTTCTCATCCTCACCAGCTCCTTTCATTTCTGCTTCTCCTTAGCAAATCTGTTCTTCTCAAAAGCTTCTGGTTATTTTGAGAAATTAAGATCTAAAAAAAGCAAATGACACAATATAAGATTTGGTAGGGCCTTTTGGCCGTTTGTTCTCCAATCTTACATACTTTATTCTTGTTGCAGTATCATAGAACTAATCTAAAAATGGGCAAGGTAAACATACCCAGCAAAGTACTATGCTATATATATAACTACGTGCATAGGTCGTGTATATCAACAATGATAAACTGGAGACAGTGTTATAAGGGACAAGCAGCAGTTTTCTAGTACAGTGACTGTAACAAAAAGATAAAACAATCAAGAATTCTTATCCACCTGCCAGTATTGTCTAGCAGTACCTGGCTCCAAACTGTAGCTCCATAAGGAGAAACAGACCCGAGCTTTGTCTTCATACCCACATCCGGGTTATTTGTAGACTGAGCGACAGGAGACCCTGTGCTCTTACCCCTGGTGCAGTGAAAGTACACTAGTTGGGATATTACCACACAGAAAGGTGTTTCGAAGCATTTGTTCAAGGCTGGTGATTCTAGGGCAAGGTTTTGTTCCTGTTGGTAGAGGGCACCTGACCTTGGCTCTCTGACGTAGCTGGACAGTGCTGCTGTCAAGTGAGATTTGGGCACCACCCTGGGTGCTTGTCTACGCAAGCGTGGGAGAGCTTTACAGTGTTCTGTTTAACTCTGATGTATCAAATACCACAAGTGTTAGAAGTGAGCTATTCTAAGAAGCTCCACTGCATCCATGATTTTTCAGTAATTTTCATAAGAGAGTTTAGGTTTCATTGTGAGCATACAGGATGATTTGATACATCCAATAAACTGGGCACCATTGCTGATTTCTCAATCCCTTGAAATAGTTTTCAAAGTTGATCGTGAATCATGAATTAAGCCATAAAGGCAGACTGAACAAATTGCATGAAATAAAGCAATTTTCACTGACTAGTAAGGCAACCATAGAAGACCCACAATGAAGAATTTTAAACACCTAAAATGGGAATTAAAACTTGAAACAGACTCAGGCTTTATGGATGTCCTCAGGCAAAAGAAGGCAGAACAAAAGCCCTGAGACAAATTAGAACAGCAGATGAAGCAGCGGGTCTACTGCAGAAAGGAGAGTAAGCCCTGGGCGGGGAAGAAATGAGCTCTGACCCCTTGCCAGCCTTGGAGGGTTTGGCTTTCACTCGGAGAGAGTGGAAAGCCATTGGCTCGGAGGAGTAGAGTGATCCACCCTTGCATTCTGACGGGCTTGTCGAGGCTGTCAGCACTGACAGTAAATGGAAGGGGTCAAGGAGAGAAGCAGGGAACTTCTTAGAGGACTGGGGTAACAGGAAAGATCAGACTGTCCAGTCCACCACACAAGAGCTAGACGTGAGCAGCATCAAGCTTGACTAATTGTCGGAGGTGCAGGAATCTCAGCAATGCCTGCAACACTTGTGTCAGTAACCTTTCCGTGGCTGTGACAAAACACAGAGGAACCACAAAAGAGGAAAGGTTTATTTTGGATCACAGCTTGAGACATTTCATCCCATGATCACCTGGCTCCACTGATGTTAGGTGTGTGGCAAGGCAACAGACATAATGGTGGAAGGGCAAGAGGAAGCGATACAGTGCCCCTCCTGGCAGCCTGGACGCCGAGAGAGCCGGAGAGGAAACAGCCAGGCACAGGACACAGCCCAGAGCGTGGCCCAGGACCATGCCCTTCAAGTAGATGCCACTCCTATTCCATCAGCTCCCAGCAGCCTATCAAATGATGGGTGGACAAACCCACTGATGCAATCAGTGCGATCATGATCCAGTCACTTCCTCAAAGTCTCACATCTGAACGTGGCTGCTTTGGGGATCAAGATTTCTGCATGCAGCGTTTTGGAAGTCACCTTGTATCCAGCTGTGACACTCCTCCAGTGCTCTGTGCTGTGTTACCATCCCTGTCTTTCCCAGTGGAGCTGTAATATATGCACATTGCATATGGGCATCACTTAAAAATCGGTGCTAGTGATGTCATGAAATGTAGTCTCTGCACTGTAAGCCAAACCTTAGACGTTAAGGTTTCATTTTCTAGAACGCCATGCCCCATCGAACTATGTATGGCTGGTTTATTTAGTGAACATGCTAGACAAACCAAGTACTCTTGACAAAAGTACTCTGCGTTTATGTTAAATGTCAGTGTACTGAGTGATTCAAGTGAAGATTATTAAGCACACCTACTAGTATGTTTGGAATAGTGTCTGATGTGGGGGTAGTCCGGTGGGTCCAAACCCTTAACCTGTGAGGTCTGCAGTAACTCTGTTGGTGTTAAAATTGAATTGAATTGCAGGGTACCCCATTGGTGTCTGGAAAATCATCTAAAAGAGAAATCCCACATACTTGGTCAAAAGCGTGAATAAAAATCCTGGATTAGGAGACTTCCACGTAACCTTTGGTCAGCCAGATGCATGAGATGAAATACTTAAAGATACACCCCTGGTAGTAAACTTAAGCCTTAAATTCTATAATCATGGTACTCATACTTTACTGTCATTTTGTTTAGCAGTTATGTTTTTCTATTAGTGGGTATTTTATTGTTCATTTATTTACTTCTTTGCGTAGTTAGCTACTTAAATCAATTTATCCTCAGTTACATAGACTTTATTTTCCTTTTCTATTTGGAGCAAGGGAAAGTTTCTTTCTGCCTTCAGAGTTGTAATAGAGATGAGAGGGAAGCTTAGACAGTCTAGAATCAGGCACTTCAAACGACACAGGTCCTTGGAGGGCTGGAAAGCACAGGGGTTCAAGGCACAGAGATGGAACAACCACATGTTCATACCTTTCTTGTATCCCTGATCAAGTTCCTGGATCTCCGTGCTGTGGTCTGTTAGGGGAGTGTGACGGCGTCTACTTCATGGTAGTTACTTAAGTTAAATGAGATAATTTGTGAAAAGCATTTGGAAGAGCTCCTGGCATGCAGTGAGCCTTACATAGAGACGAACCACTGTTAGTCTCGACGATAACTTTGTAAGTAATTTGTATTTCCTGCATGAGTCCCTGGAAAAGACAGGGTCCTTGGAAACCCACTTAAGATCCCTTTTATCTCTCAGAGGGAAGCTTTCTTTCTCTCAATAAATATATTCTTCTCTTAACCTCCATTATTCCTAAAATTCATTGTTTGATTTTAGAGAACACGAACTCATACTGGACATCTAGCAGGTTGGGAGTTTCTTCCCCTATGTCATTACATAAGTTAAGGAGGTAATTTCTGAAAAGCATTTTGAAGAGTACCTGGCATTCAATTATTCCTACATAGAGATGAATCACTATTATTCTTGATGATAACTTCATATATAATTTGCTAGATAGAGTTTCAAAATGCAGCTGAGGTACACACTGGGATCACCTTTGGTCCCATAAAGTTTCTCATTCTATTCTGTCTTTTAGGTATGAATTATAAATATTTTAAGTATTTACACATAAAAATCAGCATTCATGCATGCAGACATCTTACACTAGATCCCCTGAGAACCAGCGCTGAATGAGTAAATTTTTCAGTGAGCTGATCCCTGGGAGAGCGGCTGCGACCATGACACTGTCCCCAGCTCTCAGACCAAGTCCAATTTTATGTCCTTACTGCCCTGTGAGTCCTGTCCTCCTGTCTCACCCAGGTGGTCAAGTTTGTCTAATGTACATGGACATCAAAGTGACGTTTCCTTCAAAGTTGAAAGCTGACATAATTTAAATATGTTTATAATATTTGAATGGGCAATATAATCCTGCCCCACTTGGAAAGGAGCATTAATTCAAAGGCTAATAGAAGTGATGTTACTTATGCTGACACTAAATCAATTCTTCTAGGCTTTATGTTTTATTTAATGCTAACATTCTCCTTTATAAATGTGGTGAGTTGACATTTCATGGAAATCCAGATGCTGCTTTTGACACCCATTAAGTTTTCATGTCTCAGGTTTCTGATGTGTTTTCTGAAGTTAGGACAGTTTTTATCTTTAAGAGTGTCTGTTTAATGTGAGCGAGAATACACTAGAGTTGGGTGAAGTATACTGAGTGTATTTTAGTGTGTCTGATCATTTTCTCTTCCAGGCTTTATTTATATGGGGTGTGGCAGTGTATGTAACCTGCTGTTCTATGGAGTGGCAGGGTAAATGTCTTACTTATTTTAGTCTTATTGCTGAGATAAAACACCTGACACCCAGAGATTAAAGGAAAAAAGGTTTATTTAGCCCCCAGTTTGTAGAGGCTTCAGTCCATAATTGATTGGCTCCAAGGCAGGGTGGAATGGCAGAGGAGCAGCAGTTGATGGGGGCAGAAGACAGCAAAAGGGACAAGAGACAGACAAGTCTCTTTTTTTCCTTATATTCTATGCAGGGTGCCTGCCCTAGGGCGGTGTACTGCTCACACCCTTAATCTCAGCAGTGGACCATGAGTCAATCATAAGCTCTAGATTCACCCACCTCTGAAAAGCTTGTCCCCAGGCTGCATGAGGGTTGGGAGGGGGCATCTAGACACAAACCATAACAGTAGGGGTGAGCCATTTCAGAAACTGTGGTCCCTGGGACAGCCCACGTCACCATGCTTCTGCCAAGAGAGCTAAGGGTGTTTGTCAACAGCTGTGTGTCAGAAAACCCTCTCAGGTCTTATTGGGCCATCACTGTAATTCTGTGAGATGAACTCTAATTCTCTGCAGATGAGCAGTCCGACTAGGAGTCCAACCTTTCTGAGATCATGGGTTGTAAGCAGCATAGCTGGCTTCAAACCCTGGTCATTTGGGCTCCAAGTCCATGATCTAGGATGAAAACATTGTTTATGCTATGATATTTCATTCACAAAATATAAGACTGATCTAAAT